TAGTACGTCATATGCTTCGTTGATCTGATTGGTTTATTTGGCCCGTCTATCACCAACATAGGCCAATCAGCTAACCAGTATTTTCGCCCCTTCGCAAAATTACTTCAACGGAAAGTTTCCAGATGGATATGCGGAGCAAATCCATCTGGTGGAGTCAGGTTAAAGGGATGGAGGTTGGAGTCAGGTTAGCTACAAACTGCAACAAGACCTGACTTCGAGGTTTAGCTCCCCTAGTGGCTAAACGTTACACAGTCTTTATCTAATCAGAGACCAAGCAGAAAATGCTTTCAGTCTGCTGCATTTCTAAGAATCTGTCAGTTATTTGTTTGGTTTGGTTCAGCTTAGCTTTTTAATCCTCTGTTGCTGTTTTTCTTTTCTTGAAATGCATTTTTAGCTCGGAGAACAGCAGCTCTTAGCACTAAATTTTGACACCGCTGTTTTCGAGATTTGCATGAATTTTCAGAAAATCAGGGCAGATATAATTTCAAGTGTAAACAAGGCATTAGTTGTTTCCATGTGGCCAAGTTGTTCAGTAGGACGAGTTCTCAAAGCAGAGCTGTAATTTCTATGTGGTAACAGATTCAAACTTAAACATTTATTCCGTAATGAAAGCGTGAGAAGAACTAAGGCACTACTGATTTATTTTTGGTTGTTTTTAAATAAGAAATACTAATCATAATAGCTGTCTATAATTTCTGTGGCGTTTTTATGCTGAAGTTCTTTCCAGGTGGTGTAGAATCTGTAGCAGGTGGTTCTATGCATCAGTACATCAGGTGGTTTCTGAAAGTTACAGGTTCTTTAAAATGACTAACAGAAGTATACTGATATTAGAAAATGTCATTTTTAATTTTGAATACTAAAGTATTTTCAACAATGAGTATTTCATACTTGAGTATATGTTTGACCAAGTAACCTTTAATTGTAGAGGAGTAAGATTTGACGATGATAATCATTACTTTCTCTCAAGTACTACTGTTGATTATTTCATCCACCACTGGTCTTAACACATACTCTTTTTTTGGTTACAAAAGACTATTTTAAAGCAACCCTTAAAAATGGTATATCCAATTTAACTTATTTTTTTCAACAGAAGAGTAGAAAAGGATCAGTTTTTTAGTAAAAAGTGACACAACAGGTAAAATGGAAATGATCATTGAGAGGATGAGAGCTGTGAAATGTATCAGGCATGAGAAAATAGAAAGTCTGAAAATAATAATGTGAGAAAAATGACAGACTTCAGAAAAAAAGCCAGCAACACAGGCAGTCAGCTCAGGCAATAAGCAGCCAGTAACCTATTTGTAAAGCACTACAAAGCCAGTCAGTGGTTCTTCCAGAGGGACTCGCCTTTATCCGCCTGTGCTGTCAGTGTCAGAGCTGGTTACCAGTCTGTAAGCAGTTTACTACCATGCAAGCAGTAAAGAGTTCATTTGTGGTTCTCACAGTCTGCAGCAGTATGTGCTGTCAGTAAACGGTCTGTAACCAGATTATAAGCAGTCAGTAAGCAGTTAATGCACCAGGAACATCGGTTTGGGCTGTCCTTTATGAACCTGTGCAGCCAGGAGCTAGTCAGTAACCAGCTGTTTACTGCTTAGCAGCCAGTCAGGAGTCCATACAGCAGGGCCATCTTAGACAGTCAGTTCTCGGTCTGTTAGCAGTCAGTAAGCAGTAAATGGCAGGTCAGTGGTCTTTACAGCAGCCTGTGCAGACATCAACTAGTCTGCAAGAAGCTAGAAGGCAGTCATTTAGTGGTTCTTACAGCAGGGCTCTCCTGCAGCAGCCAGCCCAGCCTCAGAGCTCCTCGGTCAGCTTGTACTTGTCAGACGGCTGGCTCCTCATGAGGGCCCTTTGGGTCTTGGCCTCGTACAGCTCCCTGGTGCTGGCTCTCTTGAAGAAGCCACACTGAACAGCAGGGGGCAACATAACAATTTACCAACCAGACTGATGGATGTTATGGGGATGAAATGATGAGGCTGTCTATTGTAGTCTATGGTGGTTCCTGAAAAGCAGCTCCAGCCTTTAGAGTTAACTTTCCTGTCCAGGTGATGCAGCTCAGCTTACCTTCCAAAGCAGTAGACATATTAGAGCCAGCAGCAGCACCCCAGCCAAGACTGACACCACTATGATCCACAGGGGTGCGCCGGAGTCCTGCAGCAGTCCAGACTCTGGGTAAATGTTGACCTGGATCTGCAGACAGGAGGCAGAGACTCAGGGAACATGCATGCAGGAGGCCATCAGGAGGTGATGTAGGCAGGTTTTTACCACTGAGGGGGAGGACTTCATGCTGATGGTGCTCTTGGTGGTCCTCAGCTTCAGAGCGGCCAAGCCTTGAACTGACACACTGCTCACATCGCTGTAGTCCTGTAACACAATTGGAGGCATACTACTCTGTGGCCACTAGAGGGCAGGAAAATACAAACTCCAGAGACAACAACACTAAGAGGCATCAACTGTCGGTATCCTTCTGTTCTTTCTCTTTATTCCACCATTTTATCTTTGGTATGGTTTAGTAAATGTCTTGCACCTGTTGGCAACATATATCTTTATTGGATAGGAAGAGACCATGACACTAAGCTTTAGAAGTTGCTGAAGCTTGAAGACGGAGGAAGAACCTGACAGGTGGTTGATGGTACCTCGATCATAGTGGAGTTCCACAGTCGACTCCTCACTGTCAGGGTTGCAACGTTGGTCACGTTGAGCAGAGGACATGAGAATTTCACGCATCTCGCCCCGCTGCTGCAGCTCTGCAAGACAGTTTAAAAGAATGACTTTTCATTTGGATTCCAACAGACTGAACCATAAACTTAGTGTAGTGTTCCCCTGGCCTCCATCAGAGGGCTTTCTGTTTTACCCACATTACTAACTACATTTATCTTTAAATCAGTCATGTGCAGATTGGTTGTTAGTTGTCCAACGACAAGAACCCCAACAGCTCTTCTGATACCAGTTCTGTCTCAGCTTAAGTTCAGAACTGGTACCATAACTGGCTCTAGCTATGGGATGTGGAAACCTTCTGCTTACAGGACTTGAAAATTGTCCCTCATGTCCTCACCAATTTTAAGGTCTTCCTCTGTTTCTTAAAGCCGAGGACAGGGAGAGTTTTCCCTTCCTGATTTCGCTTCTTCTCTTCTTTGTCCATCTTCAGACTCCTTTTCATTTTCTGCTCATCGGACATCTGAACGAACAAGAAGCACATTTTTGCAGGGTGGTTACAAAGCAGCAACAGATACTGTCAGTTCTTATAGACCCTTTTTTCCATCAACGTCACTGTAATGTCAGAGCGTTGGCTGGACGCAAAACAAACTGACTACTGGAAGGGGAAAATAAGACAAGAACAATGTTGCAGGTCCTCCCCGTTTTCTGGAGTAGGAGAAGCTGGTAGAATATTAGCAGTGCTAAGAGTATTCTCTTTCTTTTTCTGTTTTTGTAACGGAAAGTAAAGGAGTTGCCATGCAACCCTTCTTTTTTACCCATCCTGTTTAAAATTAAAATTAATATTTAACTTCTGAAAAGTTTATTCGCCTTTTGGATGCTTCTGTCAGAAAAGCAGGACCCTACGGGTATGGGGCATTGCAGGCTAACAAAAGAAGCCTAACAACCCCCATTCCAAAAGGGTGGACCCGTTTGTCCATTTCAATTTGCATGTTTTCAAAACAAAAAAACAATGTTTTGTTGGGCTACCGTATAAAACCTCAAACTCAACGCTATTCCTGACATTTTTAACTGAAAAAACTTCCTGGATGGGAAGTGCAATGTCTTCAAACTTGGAAACAAAGTCCAGTGGATTGTTTTTTTTTTGGAATGACTACGACCTGGATGAGAATCTTCACCAGCTTAGTCACCAGCCAACGAGCAAGGCTGAAACTGATATTCTCCTGTCCGAACCAAAAAGGGGACGTCTGCACATTGTTAGAAACGGAAAAAACATGGTTGACTACACATGGAGATTAAAATGACATCTTGTGTTTCTGGATTCACGAATCAACAGAGTACAGACAGCCAAAAATGTTATTCTGTAATTGCCTGCCATTTTCAACCAAAAAAAATAAAAGGTAATGCAATTAAGCAAGGGAACTGGACCAAAATGACCATCAAACATAGTTTAAACATGGTTTAAATCAGGTTGGTTGAGATAAATAAAGTATTGTCTTCACTTAGTATGGATCATGGTTTGGGTAAGTACTGTTACTAAGCTATGAAAGTGCAGATTTACAGTAGTAGCCATTCAAAATGTCTTCTATTTCCTTTATGGACCCTTGCCTGGTCCTTGGCTGGTCCCCTACGATTTCTTTTTAAACATCAATTTTAGTGCTTAAATATTTTTTCTGTCATGATTTGTGGACATTAAGTTCTAAAGAGAAACGTCATCCCCTGGCCAGACCCTGTTATTCAGTGAGAGTGGAATCAGAGTAAAAAATATGCACACCATGGAGAAGGCCAGTTGCTGGAAGTTGCAGGGGATTTTGCTGGGAGCTGCACTGTACAATGACCAAGGTCTCTTCCTGGGTTGATTTCCTGCCTACCTCAAACATCTGCTCACCCTCTGTTTTCCCTAACTATATACACTCAGTTTTTGATTTAGCCTCTCAACCTCCATCCCATTAACCTGACTCCGCCAGATGGATTTGCTCCGCATATCCATCTGGAAACCTTCTGTTGAAGTAATTTTGGGAAGGGGCGAAAATACTGGTTAGCTGATTGGCCTATGTTGGTGATAGACGGGCCAAATAAACCAATCAGATCAACGAAGCATATGACGTACTAACAGAGCGACGACGAAAACACAACCACAAGCCAGGCTGCTCTTGCCGAAACCAGTCGGGAGAAGAGCAAAAACATCTTTTCCTCTGAGAAAAGCCTCCAGAGCAGTGTTTTGCTCTTCTTTCAGTGAAGAACTACTCTGTAATTCCGATAAAACTTGCTCGATAGCCACGCTAACGCTAGTTTCATCGGCTGAAGCCGCCATGTTCTTTAGACTGAACTGTTGCGCTTCTCGTTGCGTCACACCTCAACCCGCCACAAAGCCAACGCTGATTGGACGTTCGTTTGGTGAACGGCTCCAAATTTTCTTTAACGGAGAGTCTCCAGACTGATCTGCGAGTGAAACTTGAAAGCTCACGAGATCAGGATGGTCTCACGAGGCTACCATCCCATCAGATCGTCCATCTATTAGGTGAGTGCGTAAAGGTAGACTGATTAGTTTTCGTCTGTTAAAGTTGAGTTTTTAAAATAACCTTCACTTTCCTGGAAAGTGACCAGCCTTCCATATTCAGATAAAATCTGACTTTCTATGACCATCATAAAAAAAAAAAAAAAACTTGATAGCTACTGTTGTTAAGGTTGTCACGTTTCTTGGGTAAATCTTTCTGCCTCCAGCTAGCTCCGCCCACAGAAATACATTTCACTGTTTATCAAATGAAAAGGGGTCTATAGAGTCAGACTGTAATGATGATAGGAGAGTTTTAGGTGTCATGGATACCAGGAGGTTTAAAGGGTTGATGATGTCTTCGTCGATGCATCGAGGATTTGAAGTGCCGTCCAAACGGATCTCTGTCAGATACAGAAGCCATTTTCCATTCGCCACCTCTTTCGGCCAATCAAACTCCACCTCCAGGTTGCCAAGGTGACCCAGCGGCTTCCCCAGAATGTGAACCTGTTGGAGAAAACCTTATTGCACCTGCTGCTTCTCAGGTCTAGAACATGTTGGAAGGTCCAGACAAACCTGAATGGTGAAAACCACCAGACTGCCGACGTCCTTCGTGGTCTTCATGGCCCGCTCACCCATCACTTTACCACTGAAGAAGATCGGATCCAGTGGGATTCTAGCAGGGAGCAGCCAATCAGAACACAGCTTGTGTAAAATGAGGTTTTGCTCGTTTTTGATCCACCAGCACAGAACCACTTATTGTGATCTAATGCATTAAAAATAAACTGAACATAAATGTTAACATGTTAAAATTTTCTACACTGCAAAAATCTTAAATTAGTTGCATTTACCCCTAATTTAAGTAGGTAAATTAGATGATTTGCTAATGGAATTAGTGTTTTTACTCTTTAAATAAGACAATAAGATAATATGCACTTGAAATAAGACAATACAGATGTTTTTATCTTATTTTAAATGTAAATTGTCCTGTTCCATTGGCAAAGTGTCTCACTTACCACCTCACTTCAGGACAAAATCCATTATATTTATTTTAACAAAAAAATGCAGATTTATGGAAACAAATTTTTTGCAGTTGAAGTTATCATTCTTCAGCTTATTCTCCCTAGATGGCGCCAAAGTACTGTACCTAATACTAATGCCATAGCACTGTTTATATCAGCTTTTAATACATTAAACAAAGAGATTAAAAAATTCAATATAAACTTTATTTCTATGACCAGATGACAGATGAAGAAATCAAACAGATGTGATTTAAGAAAGATAAGGCCAACAGATACTTTCTTTTTTATCCTTATGTCTTCTGGGATCTTAACCAATTTCTCTGTGATCAACTTTTTATGCCAAACTACTAAAACCAGAAAAGTGCCTGTTTTTTCGATCAATTGTACATCAGTATAAAGTGTTGGTTCTTACGAAGTAATAGCCGCCTGCAGAGAATGCTCCACCAGCAAGGTGACAGAGACCGGAGACAAGTTTGACTGCTCACTGAGCCTGAGGACACACAGAGACACATCAGCGTCTGTCTGCACTGACTCAGACGGAGACGTGTGGGAGGACATCTTACGTGGAGAGCAGCAGCTGAGACTGGATCTCTCTGGTGTCCAAAGCCATCTCAGATGGCTCGAATTTAATGAACACCTGGACCTGGAACACAGTAACAGGGAAAACAGTTTCAGTAGAGGTCTGTTAGCACGGATAAACCACGATAAGAGCTACAGGAACAGTTCTTCACCTTCTGGTTACTTCTGAAGGGATTTCCAAGTGGGCAGAGAAGGGTGTCACCTTCAACAGTACAAACAACAGCTCCTGACAAAGCTCCCTGAAACAGGAAAACACAAAAAAACTCAGATCCTTCAGGGTTTTGTTAGAGTTCTGTGAATCTTTGTACTAAATGATGTGTCCTTGGAATTGTTCTGATTGTGACGGATCAGGTTAATATCTGATCAACTTTGGTATAAAGAAACGCTCTTTAAGGGAAATCTGATTTTTTTTAAATGTTAAAATAGTTGTGCTGGTGTTTGGCTTCTAATAAAACCTGCCGGAAAATACAAAGTTTGAGAGTGTTGCTCAAACCAGATAAGCCTCCAAAGCCTAATATTGGTATTGATATTGATATCGACACTGAAAGGGTGCTAACATTCACTGATGGCAACTATTAAGCAAGGAAAGTCGCAACTGGTTGTCCTAAAAGTTGCTACATGATGTCATTGCCTAAGTCGCATGTTCAGTAATGCTTTAACCCGTTGGTAGGAGAAAGGAATATCAAAATCAGTAAGACAGAGATTGATTTAAAACACTCTAAAAATAAAAAGCTTGATAGAGATCCCTTTAGGGATTCATTTAAAGTCGTGGCGTCCTCTTCCACAACATCTTCATCCCCGCTTTCCTCCTCTAAATAAAAAATGGATCACGGAGGAGACTCATCCACGACCTCCGACACTAAACTCTCCTCCTCTTGCATGTTTCCGCTGTCCATAGCGTTCCTTGACAGCGTCGTTTCTAAGTCACCAATTTAGTGCTACTTGGTCCCAATGGAATTTCCCATTGGGAACCTACTAGCACTAAGTTGCTAACTGGTTAGCAAGATGCTTCTGAGACACCAGCCACAATCAAACTTGCTTGCGAAGCTTCCGCCACAACAATCCTGCCCCCTTGATAAACGACCAATCACATTTTTTATATTCACTCGTGTAAAGTCGTGCCCAACTCTGGAGAATTCGGAAACGCAACGGTTGGGACAGCCGCTTCCCTACGACTTTAAGTATTTGATAATATTTTGCCAGAACCAAAACGACGTAAATCAATCTCGCTATGTTATCAGATTCAACTGAACGACCCGTTAGCAGATTCTGGTATGTTTTTGTTAGCAGATACACACACAGTGGATGAGGCTGTGCATGAATTAAATGCAGGGTGGATCTTTGTTAGTGCAGTAGTTTCAAAAATATTATGTTTACTTGTCACATAGGGGGAGGCAGTGGAGGGTTTGCACAGACGAGACTCATTCTCTTTGTTGCCGAGTCTGATTGCAACAATCAGGAACTCACCTTCTGGCAGCAGGTAAGTGCTGTTGTTTGTCTGAATCTTTTACCTATTGTGTAAAAGGCTGACCAACAAGGGTAAATAACCCATGGCTAACTGCTTATGCTGCTAACGCTGAATCTAGAAGAAGAGGTTCAATTTATTGTCATTACATCGTCACTTGCTTGGACTCCGGAGTAAATGAGTGAAGGTGGGATGCTGACGTTGAGCACAGTGTCATGAGCGTCCTCTGCTAGTCGACCTCGTGACGCAATGTTGCTGACATTGACCTCCAGAAGTAACCTCCTGATGCTGCTAGTGTAGTTCAGCAGCTGGCTGCCATTATGCCTGGAAAGAAATGGATGTCAAGAACTTGAATGTGGGTAGAACAAACCTCTGAAGGGAGTTGCTTATTTTAATTAAAGTTTTACATCTTCTCCCTCTTTGCCTCTTTTGCTGTATTTCTGCAGTGCCTCATTTTGTCTGAACTCTATAAAGCTCTGATTGGTAAAGAGATGACCCGATCAGCTGTGTCACTCACTTGGGGAAGGGTTCGTGGTTCTCATCTGTGAACTGGGCCTCCATGTGAAGGTTACTCTGACAGACATTATCAGAACCGCAGGACTTTTGAAAGTGGATCTGAATAACGAGATAAAAAGAAATGAAAGGTTCTAAGTGGTTCTGTGTCAGTACTAATGTGTGCAATACTTAAACATTTTTAGTCTATAGCTCTGTTTTATTCTACTTTGGCAGGTAATCTTTTATTTTGAGCTCAGTTCTGTTATTTATGCATAGAAATTGTATTTAAACTAGAGAGTTTAACTCTAGAGTCCTGGCTTTAGTCTCTTGGTCCTATTGATCCGGTTTGGGTTCTAAGGAATATCTATGGAAACTAAGACATGCTAGCTAGGGGCAGTTGGTTGACCATGTGTTTCGATATTTTTCTCAAAGCTGTGAATCATGCAGAGATTCTGACCTGGGTTCTGGTGGGTTGAGGTTTCCGGCTGAGAACGGGGAAGCGTCTAAGGTCTTGAACTGTGTTGCTCCTGTTGGGAAGGTTTTGATCCAGAGAGACACTGGTGGAGAACACCAGAGGTTCCACCACGTTTCGGATGTTACTCTGTTGAATGCAAATCAGCAAAGCAGAACCTGAGAGATCTTTTTTTGGTTGTTGTTTTGTTTAGGCTGATATAATGATGAACATAGCAGAGCAGCTGGATGGAGACCAACAGTAGTAGCCATTCAAAATGTCCCCACTTTCCTTTATGGGTCCTTGGCTGGTCCCCTACAATTCTTTTTTAAACATCAATATTTGTACTAAAATATTCATTTTGTCATGACTTGTGGACATTAAGATCTAAAGAGAAGCACCTTCTTCTGGTCAGACCCTGCAATTCAGTGAAAGGGTGGAGTCAGAGTAAGAAAATATAGGTATGCCCAGGAGAAGGAGGGAGTGGCTGGAAGTTGGACGGGATTCTGTAGGGAGTTGCAGGGAAGTTGGCTGCCATTTGGCTGATGTTTGACTGGGAAAGGCCAATTTCAATGGCTGCTACTCTATAAAAACAGACATAAACTGGATTTCTTTTTCTCCATCAGGACTGAAACATGTCAGACCACAATGTCCGTAAATCTCCATCATTAGAGATGAAAGTAGTCTGAACCCAACATGAAGACATCCTGAAATAAATCCTAATCATTTTAGAATACTGCTTTAGCACTCAGTAGAAAAACTTTAAAGCTGTTGTGCTCCTCTTACAGGCCCAGCATCCACCAGCTTGTTCTGAAGAGGTCTGCCTCAGAACGGTTTGAACCAGTCTCTAACAGCCTGTTTTTTTCTGTTTAAGCTCTATAAAAACAAGAATGTGGACTCTGTCACCAGAAGGCTGATTAACACTGCTGACAAATGTCGCAGTAACATTTCTAGCAACTTATCTCTACCAGCAGAACTTCCTCTGACTCAAATCAAGGCAGGTTCCCTGATTACAAAGCTATCAGAACTCTACACAGCAACACTGGGCCGTCTATGAAGAGATAAGCATATTATATTAATAATTATGAAAAAGAAGCAACTATGTATAACCAAACAAAGCAGCATTTAGTTGAAACACTGTTTTAATGCATTGATGTTGTTGTTTCTAATAAGCTTAGATGCCTGCAGGTGGCGCTGCCTCTTTTTCTGTGCATAACTCACCAGCAGTCCAACTCTTAGGGTTTTACACTTTCCGTTCCTTACTGACAGGATACTGGAGAACATGCTCTCTCCGTTGTTCTGGAAACGGAGGCGGGGCGTGAGGCTGGTAACATCAGCACTCACGGTAAGGTTGACAGCTGCAAGGCAAAAACAGACAAACGTTAAGATGTGAAAACACATATAATCAGCTTAAAAGGAATCATAAATGATCCTATTCTGCATTAATGTTGCAGCTTCAGTTTTTATGGAATCAACAACTGCGTCACTTCAGGAAGCTGCTGATGAGAAAACCACAGATTAAAGAACTACTTTGTTTTTTCTTCAGAATACACAGAACTTCAATCAGTGAGCTTAATTTTAAAGATATTCTAGAACAAGGATGCCCAGGTTAAACAATTTAGATTCAGGTCTGTGCAGAAGGGGTAGCCTATTTCTACAAGTTTGAAAGACAGCAGCTTTGAGGGCGGGACTTTGGCATTGCTGCCCTAGAAGGTCCAGCAATCTTGAGGATCATCTCTTCTTCGACAGGGAACTTTAGAGTCACCAGTGCAGAGCTTTAAGCAAGAAAGGCTCCAAAGAAACAACTTGTTCCCCCTAAAAAGAAAAAACCCAGGATGTACAGGGAAGAAAGTCAGACGACTGGACAAGAGTTATTTCCTGCAGTGGATCAGTTTTCTTAACATTTGGGACTTCTTGAGGAAAAAAAAGGTAGAGAGTTACTACAATTTTGTAAGATGCCAACAGTAAAGAATCTTGAACCAATTAGTGGGGTTAGTTCTCCAGCAAAGTAATAGTTCTCCTACTAGTTCTGCAAAATGGTATTAAAGGAAAAGTCTGGTCATGCTCAAAATTAAAACTTCTGAAAGTACTTTTAAATTATTACATACTGTTCAATTTATAAGTGTTTTAAATGAAGAGTAATTTCATCTGAATGTGTT